ACGTCGGAAAGCTTTAGCTAAATTGGCTAGTGGCGAAAGAACTGGTATTTTAAATATGACTACCGGTCGGATTTGTAAAAATAGAAGCCCAAATTAAACTTTGGAAGCCAACCAAAATCAATCATGGCTAATATATTCTTAATACTGCTTAAAGTGGTAAAATTCCCCTTGTGATTACTGACTAAATTGTTGAGCAAAAATCCCAAAGCATGCTCATCTTTCCAATTACCATGTCCCGAAACAATGTTTGGAGCATCTCGAATAGCCTCTCAAACACTGTTGTATGTTTCAGTAAAAGCTACTTTCGTACCCATCATCGAATTTTCCACTCTAACCTTTAATTTAAATTCTCTTTCTCTTGGTGGAGGAGTAGGAGTTCTTGGCCGAGGTGGTGGAGTGGGAGTCCGAGGAACTGGTTTGTAAACTATGACATAAGTTCTCTCACAAACAGGGGTTATTTTTTCCTCATCAATAATCATAACTTCTTCGGTCGACTTAACATTTAGAGGCATTCTTTTTTTTTCATTTACCATAATTTTTTGAGAAAATTTATTTTTTAATTTTTCTTTACTCTATTTTTTTTAACTTTTTTAAGCAAGAAAACGAGAGATAAAATTCCAATACAACTTATTCCTCCAACAATTAAAATAGTAGGTAAAGAGTTTTCATCAGTAGAATTTTCTGTTTTTGGTTCTTGGACACTATTAACAATATTTTTAATCTGTTCCAATTTTGTTTCCCTGTTTTGTAATTCTAACTCTTTTTGGTTAAGATAGGATTGATATTCGGGAGAACTATCTTTTTCCTTTTTTAATTTATCCAGCGAGCAATTTGCTAAATTAGTCAATGGCATTAAAGAGAAAAAAATCAGAGTTAATTCTTGAAAAGGAACTGTTTTAATGGACTTATTGGAATACGCTCGAGGACTAGCCACTAGTGGCAATAATCAACAACAACAAAACGCTCAATTTTTACAAACATTTATTCACCAAGGAAGTTCAACCAAGGCACCTGAAAAACAGCCCGATAACAGGAATAACAACCTGCTTTTAATTGGTGGTTTAGTTATTTTTGGAATTGTGGCGGTATTAATTGGTTATTGATGAGGTAAAAGGAAAAATAAAGTAAAAGAAGAGTAAAATAATTCATTATGGTTAACGCTCAAAAATATTTTGAAAGTACTTTCTCTATTAATCGCGAAGAAATAAATCTTTATGAATTTACACCAAACAAAGAAAAACTAGAAGGAGAATTAAATTTAAGAAAATTTGAAAAAATAAAAAAATTAGTTATTCCTTATCATGAAATAACTTCTTTAAATTTGACTAATTGTCCTAATTTGGAGTTATTAGACATTGGGGGCAATCTAATAACTAACTTAGATTTAAGCAACAACCCAAAACTAAAACACATTAGTGTCAGCGGACTAAAAATTAAGCAAGATTTAAATACATTTTCTCACCTAAAAGAATTAGAACATTTATGTTTAGATAGTTGTGATTTTTATGGTTCATTGCGACCATTAGCCGAAACCAGTTTGACAAGATTATATGTGAGAAATAATTTAAATATTAAAGGAGATTGAGAATTCTTGCCAACTTCTTTGAAAACTATTGAATGCGATAAGAGAATTGATATTTTTTTTTACTCTAATTGATTACCAAAACAATTTCTCTGCTTGACGAAAAGACCATGACTTCTTAATTAGTCGAATTAGTAAATTAGAACAACAATTAATCGAACAAGAAAAAATAACTAACAAAGTATTAAAAGAAAACGAACAATCAGAAAAGCAATTGGCAAACGAAAAACAAACTTTTCTAACCACCGCTGAAAAATTAAACAATTACATCAGTCAATTAGAAGGTTCGGAAACTCAACCAACAGGAATTTTAACCGAGAAAGAAAAAATAGAGATTCAATCAAAATTTGCACTTGTCTGATGAGTTGGTAGCGGTTGAAAATTAAGAGAAGATAATCAAAAACTCCTTCAAGGGATAAATAATTGAAGAAAAGAACAATGTAATTATTTATTAAAAGTTTGACCCCAAATAGTGGGAAATCCTAGCAGTTGAACTGAAGGGGGTTGAAAAACATTTGACAATTATTTTGAACAATTAAAACAACAAGCAATTAATAGGCTAGCAACATTGGAAAAACAAAATCAAATCGAAATCCCCCCCAAATAAAAACACAAAATACGAAAACTTCTAATTTGAACTAACATATTAAAATAATAATATATGTAGATATATAGAGTTGTCTATTGAAATAGCCTGGTAGGTGAATAGGTGTTGGAAAATGCCTCTTACCTACCTAGTAGCCTGTCAGGCTCTTTGAATATTCAACGAAAATGGTAAGAGGCAATTACCAAGAAGCAGTATTAAATTCTGCTTCTTACAAACACAACAAGGGAAGAAAAATAAAAAGTTGGAAAAGAGAGGAAATTTTTTTATTTTTTTTACTTTACTATCTAAAAAAGAAAGAGAAAATTATCTTCGTTTTTTGATAAAAAGTTGGTTTTTAAGTGATTAACTTTCAAAAAAAGAGAATAAATTTTAAGTTTTTAAAACTCTTTTTTGGGAAATTAATCTCGTTGTTCCCACAACCAGCTTGGAACAAAAAACTAAACTGGTTGCGAGTGAATACGGCAGTTAAGTTGCCGTTTTGTCTAACAGCAAAACAAACTTATTCGGATATACGGATAAGCCGTGGCAATAACCGAGGGACAAAGTCTTAACAAAATAAGAGCATTATCCCAGTGAAAGCACCATCAGACTCAACTGGTAATCCCAGTTAAGCCGGTTTGCCGGAGACTGATACCGGGAAATCTTAACTGACCGACCTCTATAAATGAGAACCATTAGGGGATTATCATCTATATTATAATTTTGGTGGTTTCGAACAGAGGCGAGGGGTGAATTGTGTCGTTTTTTTTGCCTATTTTTGCCCTTTACTTGTTTTACAAGTAATTTATCTTTTAAACCCCCATTTTTTACCCCTCTCACGCGCGCAAAAGACTAGAATATAAGAATAAGAGGAGGGAGAAAGGGAGCTTGCGACCTTTCGGAAGGAGATTGAGGGAGAGGGAGTGTGTGGAGGAGAGTTAGGAGGATATGGAGGTTGGGCTTAAACAATGCTTCCTGTCTAGTCTAGATACTCAGCAACAATCAAACTATTTTTTACTGATTAAATCCAAAATAAGACTAAAAACTATATTAAATATACCGAAAGGTCAGGAATAAGTGTCAGAAAGGTGAGGATTAAAGATAGAAAAAGGTCGGGATTATTTTATTTTTATATTTTTAAACACTAAATTCAAGGCTAAAACCAAATATTTTTACTAACCAAATCCTTTCATTAATGTTTTATAAGATTAAGCAAATTTCCAAGTAAAATCTAAATCTTTTTTACTTCTTTTTTTGCCTCTTAACCAATTAAAAACATTAACTAAATTCCGGATTATTAATAAAAATATCAGATCAGAATTTTAGCTTGCTTTTTTACTCTTTTTCTAATTCTTGATACTGTTAACTCTATGGCGAAAATGTTGACTTTATGATTGAAAAAAACTGTTTCTACTGCCAAGGACTAACAAATCGCCAACCCCAAGCAAGGGGCAAATGTGCCTTTTGTGGTGTGGTTAATAAACCACTTTATCCGGTAATTTACCAAGGAAAAGAAAAATATTTTTGCTGTGGTTGTGCTTGGTGGCAATTTCCTAGGAGCAAAACCGAAAAAGAAGCCGAGAATAATTGATACCAAGACTGAAAAAATTCAAGAGAAACACAATAAAAAAATGAACCTAATCCCCACCCCACAATTATTAGCGCAAATTAGCCATTACTCACAAAACAAAGGGGGCAAAAATTATTGTTTATTTTTGCTAGGAAGTAAGGCGGGATTGCGAGTTAGTGAAGCAGTAAATTTTAATCCACAATTAGCCAGCGAACACAACTTTTATCAAGTAAAAAGCAAGGGCAAAGAACGCTTTGCTTATGTTTCAGAGCAAGTTATTAGTGAGCTAAAAAAACATAATTGACAACCTAATAGCATCAGCCGTCATGGTTTTTATAAATTTCTGAAAAAGACTAAAAAAGAATTAAAAATTAGTGCTAGTATTGAATTAACGTCCCACACTCTACGTCGTTGTTTTGCTACTTACCACGCTAATAATGGGGTTCCGATGACTGTTTTACAGCAAGCCCTCGGGCATTCTAGCATTAGAACTACCGCTTTATATTGGCGTGATACTGAACCCATTAACAACACAGCAATTAAGAATTGATTAGATAAAAGTCCGTGGTCTGATGGTGAAAAAGAGACTAAAACAACACCGCCTAACTTTCCGGAAAATGGCACTATCCCTCGGGAAATTTCCCCAAGTCCAAAAGCCATTCAAGCACCAGCCAACAATTTTAGTCCAATAATCAGTAAAAATCTCGTTCAAATTCAGCCAGAAAATAGTATTCTGATAGAAAATCAACTAAAAGCAAGAAAAATAACCAAGCAAATACAATTATCCGAACAAAGTGAGTTAATGAGATTAAGAAAGGAAAATCAACAATTGAACTTTGGAAGCCAACAAAAATCAATCATGACTAATATTTTTATCGCTACTTTATCGATCTTAAAATTGCCGTTAAAATTATTGACAGGTTGAGTAAGAAGAAGACGAAAGAACAGCAAGACAGAATTAGAGCAAAAACAATTAAAATATGTCCGCAATTTTGCTGCTATTCATTATAGTTGACAAAAAAGTATTGGCAAACCAAGCAAAAATTCTGGCAAAAAGAAAACAAAGTCTCCTAATCAAAAATTTAGGCTTGGTTCAGTAATCCAATGCTTAGTTTGTGGTGGCACCATGAAAAAAAAGCAATTAGGTTATGATTGTCTTAATTGTGAGAATTTTCTCAGTAATAGAGAAATATACACTATTAATTAACTAGTGAGTCAAGCAATTTATCGTTCCGGTTGTTGGGGTTGTTTACGAGCCCAGCAAGACCCAGCGGAAAAATATGTTTGTCCCAAGGTTAGGAAGCATTGAAAGGATTGAGAACAACAAGAACAATTTTAAAAATCCTAATAATTCAAGCGGGAACCTTAATTATTAGGGGGAGTAACTATGACTCCCCTTTTTTTTGCTAAATACCAAGCAATACCACTAACACTCATATAATCGCAACAACTCCTCATCCAATTGCTATCTTAGCAAGTAAAGAAAGACCATTATTTTTATCTGAATCTTGTTGCTTATTTATTTTGTCTTGGATTGCTTGCTGAATTTCTACTTGATAATCTTTTATTTTAGTCTCAGTATCTAACTTGGCTAAATCAGTTTCTCAGTTTTGAAATTTGACTGGTAAATCAGGAATTTTTAGGTTATGGCATTTTAAGAGTTCAGTAATGTTTTTTTTGGCTTTTTGATATCCCTTAAAAAGAGGAATAAATTTTTCGATTTTTTGCTTAGTTTCTTTTTGACATTGTCCGCACCAATTATGTCAATCCAAACCTTCCTTAGCATATTCTCTTTGTTCCGCAAACACCCTACTACCTTCTGAAATTGAAAACCTACCATCACAAATTTCGCAAACTAATTCGTATCTAGACCGATTTAAATAAACATCATTATATTCCTCAATAGTTAAAGGTGCTTGCTCGTCAACTAGCAATTTATCAATAAAAACTTGACCACAACTTGAACAATAATCATCCTCTAATTCAACATTTTTGTTTATTTTACATTTAGGACAATACTTTTCTACCATATTGGTTAACTAAACCTGCGGTCTTTTTCTAATAAGTATTAAGGGGGAACATAATATCTCTATCATCGGTTTGAAGTTTTTGGAGGAACTTCTTGATAAGTAATTCTAGCATCGGCACAATCCTGACAAACTGTTTTCATTCCACAGTCAAGGCACTCTCCATAACTCCCTATTATCCGACCCCGATAATCTAATCAATTACCCTGACCGTCAGTATCAGACCCATCAATTCTTTCTAACATATTTTCTCTTCCACAAACTTTACAACTGGCAGCAACTTTCTTGTCACGCCTATCTACATTACCACATCTACCACACTTATTTCACTGGCAGTCTCGACAAATGGACTTACAAGCACAGTCATTCTCTTTATCTTTGTATAGTTCTGACTTTGTGGCTTCGCGATTTTGAAACAACTTAACCTTGACTATAATCCTTTATCCGCCAAAAACCTCAACAATTTAACCAACCAACAACTAGAAAAATTAATAACTGGTATGAAAGACAAAAAAATCCGCATTAATTCTAGCAAAGGGACTATTTTAGCGGATTTATTGGACTATACGCAGCAATTAATTAAAAAGGGTGGTAATAATACGCAAAATGCTTATCAATTACAAGCACTTATTCAGCAAAGCAGTTCACCAGTTCAGCCCACTAATAAAAGTTGAAATTCATCATACGGATGATGGCAAAACTTCTCGAATAAAATTCCGGGCTGCTCCCAAACGAGTTCATCCGAATGAAAGCAAGTCTTTTGGGGAGAAGTTTGGAGAATTGTTCAGACAAGGAGGAAAAGAAGAATCAGAAAGTAAGAAATTTAGAGGTCAAGCTGAAAGTAATCAAGATAATAAAGTTGGAAGTGTCGAGCAAAACAATAGCGGTTCACAATTAAGCAACAAAGTTGGTGGAGAGGAAAGTGATAAAAATGTCTCAGAAATTGGTAGCAGTATGGATATTGATCAGTTTGAGACTTCCACGAACGAAAATTTGGGAGGTTCCTCAACAACAGACACAAGTCTTAATTTATTATCTGATTATGAAATTGAAAGAGCAGAAGAGAGTCAATTAATTGACTTAATGAGACGGGTAAAAAAAGAGTTAGAGATTAGGAAAGAACTCAAAAAGCATTCAAATAGCGATTTTCGGACTTCTAATTATCAAGTAAGTACTCACGATTTAGAAAACTGTTTATCAAGGGTCGAGAATTCTCTTAAAAGTTTTCAAACTTCTAATACTACCAATACTACCCTTAACAATGATAACAAAGGTTCTGATGCTGGCGGAGTTTTAGCGGTGGTTGGTGTGGTTAGTGCTTTGGCAGTCGGTAGTTTGGTCTTGGTAAAAAGAAAACTTGGTAAGAATAAGAAAAAATAAAGTCTATGACAAAATTTTGATGTATTAACTGTCAAACAGAGCAAAACTACTCTTGTTCTTGTGTAATGGGCGGTTGTAATCATCCTTGTGCAAGTTGTGGAAAAAATACTTTGGCTTCTATTCAGCCTAACGCGAATGATACTGGATATTCATTAATTAAGCAAATGGTTGGTGAAGCCCAAAGAAAAGCAAGGCGAACTGGCGAAAGAGGAGATATTGAAGTGTCAAGAACAGTCATTAATTCCAACGGAGAATATTATTGTCAAATCCTAGTTTATAACACTCATACTAAACTTTATCGCTCTAATTAAAAAGTTAAGAGAAGAGGGAGTTTTTATGGAATTTATTGTTTCTCTTAATGTGCTTAGCAAAAATAAATTAATATGACCGAGGAAAGCAAAAAAGAAAAACCAACTATAATCCAGTTAGATGAAAATCAGTATAAGCATTTTCTAATCGCTTCTGGCAATATTATCCGTGAATTGAACTCGATTTCTTTTAAAGTGAAAGAATTAGAGGGTGGTTTAACTAAAATAGAAGCTGAATTAAGACTGTTGAGAATTGAAATGAAAGAGAAAAGATAACCTATTAAGAATAAAAGGGAGTCTCAAAAACTCCCTAGTTATTAATGTTAATAACCTAGTCCCCAATTAAATTATCAATAAAATCATCCTATATGAATAACAATGCTCAATCCCACCTCAACCAAATCATAAAAAAAGAGCGAATGTATTATTTAGACCTCTGCAACAGAGATTTAGCCGGAGAAATGGATCTAAAAGACTTCACCAACCTCAAATCTCTCAATGCTTCTAATAATAAGTTTGAAAATTTGGACTTCTTAAACTCTTTACCAAATAAGGACAAATTACAAAGTATCAACCTTTTCGGTAATGAAATACAAAATCTAGATTTGAATTTATTATTAGCAGATTTTCCTAACTTAAAAGTGGTAAATTTAGACAATAATCCATTAAGCCTAAAAAATTTAGAGCAATTGTCGGTCAAGCAACTTAATTCTTTGGTGGATATGGTGGAAAATAAAAAACTAAGAATTGGCACTTGAAAAGGCACTTTAACTTTGGATTTACTGAAAGCCATTCAGGAATTAAAAGAAAAAACTAACCAAAGCACTAATAACAGCCATAATTCACAAACTAGCCAGCAAACTAGTGTTGCTAATTATCAATCAATAGGAAAAGACAATAAAAACGGCAATAATTTACTATTGCTGCCGGTAATTATTGGTTCGTTACTAATTGGTTCTCTGTTTACTTATCTTTTCCTAAAAAACAAGCAAAAAAACAATAAAATAATTTATTAAAGTTTATGAAAATCATTAACAATGAAAAGTTTCCACCTATTCATCCGGGGGAAATATTGCTTGAAAATTTTTTTAAACCACGAAATCTAACTATCGAACAAGTAGCCCAGGACATAAAGGTTCCGTTCTACCAATTACAGGACTTAATTGCCGAAAAGAGAAATATAGATACTGATATGGCTTACCGTTTAGGATACTATTTTAAAGTTGGTGCCGAAGGATTTTTAAATTTACAACAACATTACGACCTGGAATGCTGAAAAGACCGCCAAGAAAAGGAAGTAAAAAAACAAATTCAGCCTTACCAGCGAATTGAAAATAAAAGAGAAAACCGCCATGGCAAATCAGTTTTATAAAACATGCTGGATTTAACTGATTTAATTAAAGATAAAGATACTAAAAGAATTTGACAGCGTGATTTCCTAAAAAAAGGGTTAAGTCAGGAAATTCAACGGGCAGCCCTACGAGAATTAATTATCTTAGCCACCTTTGGGGATAATCTAGAAAAATTGAAAGTAGTGTTTGGTGAGGATTTAAAACCACTAAAAGGCAATAAAAAAGGCTTTTATCGGTTAAAAGTTAACGACCAATATCGCATTATCTTTAAATGAGAAATTGGCAAACCTTATGAAATTGAATTCAATAAACATTATTGAGATTAAACAAAAATATCACTCTCTTGCGGAACAAAAACACTAACTACTTTATTATTCCCTTTATCATTAGTCTCAAATTCCAATTCTACTTCGCTAATATTTTCTCAATTACTAACTAAACTATCTCAACCATCTTTAACCGCTTTTTCAAAACAAAAATAAGCCTGATTGCTGTCATTGTCGACAATTAAATAATAATCCTGCAAATTCTTATCTTGCAGTTTTTTAATGGTAATATTTTTTAAATTAGCGGAGGGCATATGGTTATTTTTATATGAAAGTTAAAGAATTAAAGATAACTACAACAAAAAAAATATCTATTGAATACTAAACAAGTGGGCGAAGCCTGAGAATTATTGAATGAATTTGATGTGTCAAGCATTAGAAAGAAATTATTACGGCGTTGACTTAACTTTCTAGGAAACCCAACAATTTTATAAAGAAAAGCAGAAAGGTTATGAAATCTAGTATATTCACCGCAACCATTCAAGCCCTAAAATTACCGATAAAACTATTAGCAGGATTGATAGGAAAAAGCAAAGCAAAAAGCAAGAGTGAATTAGAACAAAAACAATGTGCTTATGTCAGAAATTTTGACCTTACTCGCCTAAAAAATAGAAGTTGACAGACAAGTACCGACAAAAATTCTAAAAAGAAAAAGGATGGCAAAAGGAAAAACAAGCAAAAAAGTCCAGCAAGAAACTAAAATTTTACTGGCTAAATCTGTTATAAAAAACTGGGATAAGTTTACTAAAAAAGAGAAAGAAGATATAGAAAAGTGGTGAAATACAGAGTATTGTCCAAAGGACTAAAAGAAACTTGCGGGAAATTCAAGGAATAGACTAAATTATTAATAGGAACTATATCACATAGGAACTATTTATTTACTAAAATATAATATTATGGAGCAATTAATCATAATCAAAACTAATAATCCCCAAAAAATAAATCCCATCACTAGCAAGAGATTAGATATAATTCGCCCTTTTGAAGTCCCAGTTTTAGTAGAAGGTAAAAGAGGAAAAGCCTTGTGCGACCAAGTGCGAGTTTACAATAAAGAAAATAGGAACTATGTAGTATAGGAACTATAAAATAAATATATGGCAAAAAGAATTAAACAACAATTAACTCCCTATCCTCACCAAAACTTCACTTGTGATAGTTGCCGAGAGGAATATGAACAACAAACTGCCTACTCACCAGCCCCAGATTTAGACCAATTAGATTACTTTTATACTTACTGTGCTAATTGTGCGAAAGTAAACGACAAGGAAACCAAAAAACAACCAAATAAAAGCAAAAAAACCAAAGACTTCGGCACTCCACCAGCAGAAGCCAGCGAAAATTTACAGTCCTTAGAAATCGATAAAAGAACCTTACGCAAAACTAACCGCATTCATCAATTCAATACTTCGGTTAGTCAGGAATGAATGACTAAATTAAAAACCATTTCTTATCAAGAAAGGTTGAAATATGTGGAAGTGTTGGAAAAAGCCTTAGAATGCTACGAAAATCAGCGGAAATAAAGAAGTCATGCCAATACAAAGAATAAAATGTCGTTGTGGCAAAAGTCAAAAATGCTCCGCTCCTATTCACGGAGAAGTAATAATTTTGAGTTGTAAAAAGGGCTGTAAGTTAGGTTGCGACAAACCAAACTTAATATGAATAATAAATGAAAGAAAATTAGAAAGCAAAATTTAGGGACAATTCCCCAAGAAGCCAGTGCCAATTTACAGGCTCCGGAAACTGCTCCTTTGCGAAAAAAGGACAAGATAGTAAATAATCGCACCAAGCCCTTAGGTTTAAAAGTTAGCGAGGATTTTTATTGACAATTAAAAGAAACTGTTCTTAAAGAAAAGCGTCTGATGATAGAAATAATTGAAAAAGCAGTGGCGGAGTATAGGAAGAGAGACAAACATTAACTTATCCTTAAAATTTATTGTCTTATCAAAATGGTCAATTAAAAACTAAATTGTTAAGATTTTTTGCCTAAAGTTAATTTCTCCTGACTGGTTTCCCTACTGGAAATATAACTCCGCTCTTAATTCATTCTTGATAAGTTTCTGATCGGCGATTAAAGCATTTATAGGAACAAAAATCAAGCCAAATATTACACTTCTGCCGAGTTAAAAAAAAGACTGAACCTTAAATAAATGTATCAGGTAATTTGGAAAGAGGAAGTTGAGAAAGGTTTAGCAAAAATTTATTCCCCACCTAAATAGGGAATTAGGGGAGGATTATTTCTGTTTTTTTTGGTCAACATTTTAAGTATAATTCAGAAATTTTTATTTAGATTATTTTTTTAATAATTTATTTTGAGTTTAGTTTCAACATGAAAAAAATAATTTTCCTAAACAAAAACTTAACCACTGAATTAGAAATAAATGTTGATAACAGCCAAGACGAGATTATCAACTGCAAACTGTGCCAACGAGCAATAGTTATTTACAGTGAAAACAAATATCCAAATGTCTGTTTTTACGATGACTTAACTAGTTATAATTTTTGTTCCTATAAATGCTTTAATCGCCGATCAGAAACTTATCAAGAATGAATTAAGAGAGAGAGGGGGGGGGATGCGGATTAATATAATTATTATTTCGGAGGAATTTCTATTTGTGCTTGAGTAGGAATTACTATCTCTTCAGCATCTTCTTTTAACTTTTCACTTCCTGTTTATTTGTGTTACCAATATATAAATAATATAAATTCCTTAACTGACTAAAAATAGTGAGGTCAGCAGTGGGGAGATTGTTATTGCTTATGTATTATTGAAAGTTCCTTCACTGATGCGGGCTGATCCATCAATTATTAAGTAATCATAAGGGCTTTTAGTTAGTTTTTCCTCAAAAAACGGAAAAGATTGACAGTTGATAAAAGGTTTTATACCTTGACTTTTTCTTCTTTCTGCTCATTCTTGGCTAGTTTTTTGTTGGATATCTAAATCTATTAGCAAAACATTAAATTTTTGTTTGGTAAGTTCTACCGATAAACAACGAGCCAGGGTCGATTTTCCGCCTCCGCCTTTTTGGGAGAGAATTGCGATTATTTTCATAACTTTACTTTTCCATTTCCAAACTAGTTAAAATACCTAATCAACTTATTTCCCCTTTTTTTAACCTCCTTTTTAATAAGGCTAAAATCTGTTCGTTAGAAAAAGTTTCTAGTAAATCCAATACAAAAACTAATTTTTCATTTATCGCTACCATTTCCCTTTCCGTTAACTTCCCACGATATTTTCCTAACCTTCCTACATCAATTACTCGCACTTGTTCGCATTTGGCTCGCCCAGGCTTATTGCGGAAAAAAATGGGAACTTGAAAAGCCTGATAAAGTTTTTTTATTTTGCTGGTTAAAGGAACTACCACAAAAATTTTTCCTTGGGCGTTTTGTTGATTATTAGAAACTATTACTACTGGACGATGACCCGTTTCTTTATCACCTTTTTGCTCGTGTCCCTCGGCATCATCTAACCTAGCTCGGTAAACCTCTCCGCGTTTTTTAACATTGCTTCGCTGATACAATTTGCTTAATTCCATTCCTCTTTTTCGTCCACTTCTCACTCCGCAGGGTCATTGGCTCATTCCTCATAATCTTTGGCGGCCTGTTTTTGCTGCTCCTCTTGGCTTTTGGCTACTTGGTTAACCTTTTCTTTAAGTATTTGTGCCAACTGTTCTGCGGTTATTTGGTTTTCTTGAACCCGTTTTTGTAATTCTTGAAGGAATTTGTGATTGCTTATTTGTTGTAATTCAGTCATAATATTATATTTTAGTAAATAAATAGTTCCTAGGTGTTATAGTTCCTATTTTAAAAAATACTTAACCAATCCCCACCAAAAAATCCACCTTTCCCCCAACTCTTACCAATAATTCTAGTGGCGAATGAACTTCGTTAACTATTCTCCCAAACTCCTTGCTTCGTCAACCGGCATCAATCAAAAAACTCCCTATTTGCTGAGTAATAGGGTCTAAATAAGGAATTTGGTAATAATGACTATCTCGGCTTCCTCCCGCCGAACTCAATTTCTTAACATACTGCGGAGTAAATATTTTCAGCGGTTTAATAATCTTAGTGCCGTAATAACTTAACTCTTTTTGAGATGTTGCATTGGTGGGGAAAAAATTATTTACTTTCTTTTCTACCTTAACAAAATCCCACATCATTCTTATTCCTTTATCATGATTACTCAACGAAAACCTTCCTAAATCTTTCTCTCAATTCTCCAATTTAATCAATGGCAACTCCGCAATCTCTCCTTCCTTACTCCACTTACTAAATTCAATCTTTCTATTCTTACTAAGTGGCAAAGTAGTTTGACTTCCTTCTCCTAAAATATCCCCAATCACTAACAATTTCCATCATAACTTACTTTTCCTAGGCAACTCATCAATATTTAAATGTAATTTCCTCGCTCCCGACTTACTCACTTCATACCACGGCAACTTTCAATAATTAATCAAGTAATCAATCACTAAATCAATCTCCTTTCTCTGCTCCTCATTCATTAAATAATTTCCTGCTTCATCCTTTTTGTAATGGTCAAAGTCTAGAACTAATTTATTTTTTCCTCCTGCTTCCCCATTCTTCAATAGTAAAGCACTTAAATCTTGTTTTTCTCAATAGCTAGATAATTGTCAATTCTTCTCTTGGGGAATTTGGTTAATAGTTTGAATAATATCTGTCTTTTTTCAGTGCTGATTAACCACTTGACTTGTTTTCTCAATTTCCTCTAATCTCCGACTAAACAACAAAGGTTTTTTTACCAATAACTTACTTAATTCTCTCCCTTCTTTTTGAACCAAGTAAGCAAACATATAACTCTCCTGCTTCTGCTGACAAGTTTGCCCCTCACGTGTATGCAAAAAAACAATCGACTTACTCTTATAATAGGTTAGTGGCAATTTTTTCCCCACCAATGCAACATTAAAAAAAAAGAAGGGTGAGGAGGATAATTTTTCCTGGTTTTTAAGGTGGTTGATTTCTACTCAACCTCTTTTTTCTAATTCTTGGGTTAAGATTTTAACTCGGTATCTATCTTGGTCGGTTAGTTTATGGCGGTCTTCTTTTCTTTTGTCTCAATAGTCAGGGTTATATTTGGCAACTAATCTCCGAACCTTGTTGTATTCTTTTAGGTATTCTTGGCGAGAGGTTTTTTGGTTGTAAGTGCGAAAATATTCTCCCCTACTTTCCTTAACTTCACTCTTCCGTTCCTCATAAAGTCTTTGACTAAGGAACAAGGAGATAGATTAAAATTATTTGATTACTAGTATAGAGGAACAAGTTTAGCATTTATTAACTATTTTCCCTAACCTAAAATCCTAGAACTTGTTCCAAAAATTCAGACTAGGTTAAGTAATCATAGTTAATAAATGAGTAATCAACTTCTATATATATTATTTTACTAATTTTATCTAAAAATCTCTTTTCAGTTTTGGGAATTATTAAAGATTTTTACTGAATATCAACCTTTTTATCCTCAAATTTACCCTGTTTTTTTTCGCTTCTTCCAAAAGAAAAACCTATAAACTTAATTAAAAGACAAGAACATTTATGAGTAATCATGACCAATCAACACATTCATTGTCATCAAGGACTAATTACCGCAACTTGGAAGGAGGACTACATAACGCCATTTTGGCGTAAAGGATAGAGAGATATCAGGCTTGAAAGTCATAAGTAAGAAATTCCGACAATAAAGTAAGGTCATTACTTACTAAATTGCCAACTTAAAGAAACAGAGGCTAAACTGTTCTTGAATTAGCAAATAATTTTTAGAAAAAAAAAGAAATTTAATAAAAATATGGTAAACGAAAAATTTATACCCATAGAAAATAAAAAGCCGTTCGAAACGGTATATGAATTAAAAAATGAGGTCGAAGAAATTCGATTACCCATGTTGAGTGAGATTACTGATAAAGATGGTAAGGTGAAATTACCACCTGAATTAATTGAAAAATTACGAGATCCTAACGCTAGATTTAGAACTGATTTAGTAGTATGTCCTGTGGGATATGAGGAATGGGACGTTTTAAAAGTGTCATGTCTGTCATCAGGATGTAATAATTCATCTATTACTACGTGAAGACATAGTAATTGTACTAGTAGTTATCCTTCTCCTATTGAATGGTCAACTCATGCTAAGTTAAAATGTCCTTCTTGCTACAAGATTCTTGATATAAGCAAATGAAGTTTTCATTGTCATGGAAGTGGTTGTACTAATAGAGGAACGGATCAAGCAACGCTTGCTGAGGCTTTACTTTTGGTTTTGTCATCAGATAAGGGAGTTAGTGAAGATTTTGCGAGATTATTTTTGAAAAACGCAAAAGAAGTGCTTAGATAAGTAAATAAACAAAATAATAAAAGATATTAATTATGTGAGGAAATAATTCAAAACAAAAACAAATTTTAGTTAGTGCTTATGAATTAGAAGTAATTCAAAAAGCATTTAATAGTACTTTAAGTTGATTGGAGTTTTATATTGAAAATTCTGATTATTCTGGAAACTGGCAGAGACAAACTGAACCAATCAAAAGAGAAGATTTAGCACAATCGGGACGAATAAGGGGTTTTATGGAAACAGCATTATTGGCATTAGATAATGTGATTGAGAATAAACCGAACTTTATTGCTAAAAAATTTCAAGATCAATTTTATTCTTGACTGGATAAAAGTGGAATAAATGTTAATGATTGTTCGGAGGAATTAACTCAGTCTTTGCTAGACATTTACAATGTATTAAATAATCAAGGAAAAGAATTTTCGGAAAGAACAAGTAATGAGGCTGGTGAAAATATTTCAAGAATGACCCCAGAAGAGAGAAGAAGAAATTTCTATAATACTTTTATTGCTTCGCAGAAGATGATGGAAGTGGCAAAAGCAAGACAAAAAGAATTAGAAGGAAAAACTTATGAAGATATGGAAATAAAAAATCCATTCTCTGGTAATCCTGACAAAGGGAAGAAACTTTTTGGTCAAATTAAAAATAAACAATCAGCAAATCCTAGCAGTGTTAACCTTGATAAAGTAGTTGAGAATTTAAAAGCCGACCCTAAAAACTATTGAAGGTTAGATGAAATTCCTACTGAAATTAACAATCTTGGTTGAGCAAAAAAACAAGAATGATTGCTTATTCGTTGAGATGCTCGAGAAAAAGAATTTGACAATGAAGGAAAATTAAACTTTAACAATAATCCAATCTACCGATGAGAAAATTTTAATGTTTTACAGAGATTTGAGATAAAAAAAGCCTTGAATATTTCTGTTGATTACTTAACTGATGAGGAAATTAAATGGGTAGTTAGAGAGTTTAAAGACAATCCGAGAATTTGACGAACTGGAACTTTCAAAGGACACAATTGCCTTATTCGTAGTTCCGCCCAAGGAAATAATAATGAAATAGGAACTTTAATTCACAATTGGCAAAAATTCAGTGAAGTAGAACAAGCAGAAATTTACGGAATATTAGAAAGAGTGAAATTTATTGATGATATTAAGCAAAATGCTAAATTAGAAAGAGGATTATTTGTTATAAACCAAGACACTGGCGAACACTCCGAAAATGAAGACTGATTTATACATAACCAATTAGAAAGAAAAATTGATGATAAAACAGGATACTTGATTTTTAGTCCTGGTGAAATGATTATGGCAAAAGATTTAAGTGATGCAGAGCAAAAAGCAGTTGGATATAAATCAGAAGTAGGATTACAAACAAATTCCTTCTCCACAACTCCAAAAAACAATGATAACACTATTGGAAAAGGTGGCATTATAGCCATTATTTCAGTGGCTAGTTTAGCAGTAATCGGTAGTCTAGTCGCAGTGAAAAATAAGTTTAACAAGAAAAAAAGGTAGTTTTCCTAAGTTCCAAAACAAAGATTATAAAGAGTAATGGGGAGCCTTCTCAGGTTCCCCCTAATAATTAAGTTCCCCAATTCAATTATTAGCCTACAACCTCCCCAACTTCCGATACTCATTAAACTTAGCCCTTCGTAATGGGGTCATTTTCTTTTTCCTTTTTTCCAAACACTCCCCACATAATACTTTTTTTTTGTTTTTAAACCTCAAAACCTCGGGTCATTCCTATTTTTAATAACTCCATTCTTTCCAACTCCTTTTACCTCTTTTTCACACTTTTCGCAATAAGTATAGCCATAATTAGCACTATCATAATAAGGAGTGCGGGGTTTATTACTTGTTTCACACTGACACTCTTTCAGTTTCTCCTTACTTTCTCCCAAAGAATTACTAAACAATAAATAATTGGCTTGGGC